TCTTCTTTGGTATCACTGGTTTTGAGTGCAATTGTTCAAACTTTGCTGGCCATGAGATCGTCCACAATACATTTTTGGTGAAATTAACCTATCTAATGTCAAAATTTCTCTCTGTTGTGTGTTGCCCCGGGTTGAATTTTTGTTGATTCCTAATGAAAATTTCCCATTTTTGAAAAAAATAACTGTGGCTATTGTATTGTCCGAAATTTTTTTTATTTTGCACACACTATATATATATATATATATATATATATAAGTAAATGTAAAAAGAATAAAAATGTTCTGATATTGAAACGTATCAGAACATCTCGGATCAACTGGTCAAGGTCAGCACCTCGACCAGAGATATGTCGGGAATAATACAGAACAGGTAAATCGGATTTTTCAAAGATTCATTTGTCAAAATTCGATTTTGCAATGTTTGCAATTCCAACTTCCCAACGAGCAACACATGTGCAAATCTCACACTAGTGCCTTTTTGTAGAAAGATGTCACTATTTTGTATTTTATTTTGACTCTGTTCTTGGTCCCCTGAGTACCTACAAGTCTGATTTTTTTTATGCATGCATGATTTGGGCACTTAATACTCTGTGCCAAACTGCAATTCCTGACATGTACTCCTTTATTCCTGTAAGCTGGTAAGCCAGGACGGCACCTTGATTTTATGAACAAGACATAGTCTTGTCAAAAACTATAGAAAAAATAAAAAGGGATGATAATGTTCATAAAATGATAAAACTTCTATTTAGCTATTTAATCAAGACAATTCAGAAAACAGTTTTAAAATGCAGATTATTAATTTGAAAATGGGAAAATCTGTATGGGAAATGAGTGAATATTTTATTTTAATTCAAGCTGACATAAAATTTTACCCATTAAATAGTGTCAAAAAGTATCTTGAAATAAAAAATAATTTTTTTAGGTTCCTTTTAAGGTTCTGTTTAATTTGGTTTCAGTTTTTTTTGTAAAAATCAAAACTGTGTGGTTCTGTAACTGAAATTGATTAAATCTTATGGCAAGTGCATAACTGTGTAAGTAGGCAATGATATAACAAGTGGTTCAACTGATTAGAAACAAAGTAAATAATGTTTGAATTTCACTTTTAAAACACACAATCCTTGCATTTTGACAAATTTTGCCACTTAGCCAAGACACTATTCCATTTTTTGCAGCTATTGTCATACATAATATTTTATCTACTGCAAATTTTCCTGGGACTGTTTTAATTTCCCCAAACCTCATTTATGCAATGACACACATGCTGCATTCCTGGCTGCAGTTGTTATTCAAATAAAATTCTATAATAAATATATTTCATTTAATATATTTTTGTAACTATTAAATAAATTAAATCTAACTTAGTAACAATTCTCCATCTGAAAATTAACAGTAGAAAGAATTCTTTCACTATATTTTTCAGTCTTAAAATTGTCATTTTTCATTACATATAAGTTTCCAAATTTATCAATATATTTTTAAAAAATTAATTATCAAAAAAAATTTAACTACATCAAACTTCTATTTATCTGTGCTAATTAGTGCACGATGTACATAGAAAACTGGAAAAAAACAGATAATTCAAAATAGCCCTCTAAACAATCAATGGGTTGACATTCATGCCAAATACTGTATAGTAGGATGGAGAAATCACCGAGATTTCTCCATCCTATTAGCCCTCTAAACTATAAAAAAACTATTCAGAGTTTTTAAATAAACTACAGTATATAGATACAGCTCAACTCTGTTATAATGCAATGCAAGTGTGAGTCCCAAGTTTCATGAACTGAAATTTATATTCACACAGTAAACATAAAATGTAAATTTGTTCATAAACCGTTTATTGGAAGAAGATATAATAATTTTATTAGTCTCACTATTGGATGAAATTTTTATGTAAATTTCTTCTAATTCAAAGATATCATGTTAAAATGTAAAATTTAGCTTTTTATGTATAATTACAGGTAGCCCTCGGTTTACACTGCAGTTCCGTTCGAACAAAAGCCGGCGCAAATCGAATCGGTATAAAACGAACCCATTTTTACAGTGAGGTATAGGGTTAGGTTCATATTATTATTTTCATATTATTATTATTATTATTTTTTTTTTGCAAAGCTTAACATTGGTAACATTGGTGTAACTTTAACTCTCATCCAAGTGCGCCAATTTTCATGACAACCTTGGGCGTTGTATCTGCTGGATACATAAAACAAATTAATGCAATTTTTATATTTTTACTGATATATATGTTTGACTATGATTATATCTTCGATTTCTACATTTTCTCTACTATCTAACAGTATAAAATACTTATAGGTTTAAAGAATGAGATGATTATTTTTTTTGTAATTTGATTTGTAAATGCAAAAAACTAAACTTATCAAATATCATCTCATTATAAATAATTTCAACATTTACTTAGTGACATCAGATTTTTTAAATTTCACAGGATCATATTATTTTTCAATTTCAGGGTAGTATAGCTTTGTTTATTTTCTCCTGCAAAAGTAATAAGACTCTGCTGGTTTTCTACTGTGAATTACAATAAACTACTAATTGTTTTATTACTTTGTTTTCAAAAACTCCTTTCTCTGTCAGTCAGTGGGTCAAATGACTAACAAATTGTCTTCTTGCATTCAGGAGAATGTTTTCTTTCAAATTTAACAACCAGTATTGCCAGTAACAAAGTCTATAATTTTATATTTCATAATTAATTAAAAAAAGTATTGATAAAATTACCAAATAAATGTTTGGGTCACAATTACTAAATGGTATTGATATGTTACCGCTAAAGCTCGAAATCCGTTAATGTGTACATTACCTAGCTAATCTGCAGATTAACTAGGGTGATCCGTTAAAGCTGCGAAAATTGTTCAATTTCTCAAATTACCTAGGTAATTTGCAGANCATTATAGTTTGTTGGTCACTGCTCTGTCTCTATAGGAAAAATTAAAGAATTTTTTGAATCAGTTTCTTAAATCAATTAGTGGGTTATATTACTTTATTGAATAAATTATATTTTAATTAAGAGAATAGATTTGTTTAATTTACTTGTGTTCATGATTTGGTATTTGCTTGAGATATATTTAAATTGAGTTAACCTAAACATAAATTTTTTAAGTAATAATCTATAAAAAGTAAGACGTTAATAGATAAAATTTTTGACCTGTTTAAATGTCAGATGTAATACATTATTTGGGTTTAACTTGTTAAGCCTAGATAATGCAATATATTTTTGTAATAATTGTTTTAAAAGTTTTTAATACAAAATATTTATTTTAATAACCAAAATTAAACAAACTTTTTATTGATGTTAAGATTTAATATAAGCAATATGATTATTCTCTATGTTAATAAAATATTATTCCCTGTCTAATGTCAACTTTTTTTATCATAGAAATATTTTAAAACAAAAGATTCATATAAATTTAATTTTATATACAGTCAACCCCTCTATAATACTGTTGATAATTCAGTTTTATATGAATTCCATGTTGTACGAGTCACTTAGATTTTACAAATACATGTGCCAGGCTGTGAACGGTTCACGTATTTGTAAAATCTAAGTGACTCGTACAACATGGAATTCATATAAAACTGAATTATCAACAGTATTATAGAGGGGTTGACTGTATATAAAATTAAATTTATATGAATCTTTTGTTTTAAAATATTTCTATGATAAAAAAAGTTGACATTAGACAGGGAATAATATTTTATTAACATAGAGAATAATCATATTGCTTATATTAAATCTTAACATCAATAAAAAGTTTGTTTAATTTTGGTTATTAAAATAAATATTTTGTATTAAAAACTTTTAAAACAATTATTACAAAAATATATTGCATTATCTAGGCTTAACAAGTTAAACCCAAATAATGTATTACATCTGACATTTAAACAGGTCAAAAATTTTATCTATTAACGTCTTACTTTTTATAGATTATTACTTAAAAAATTTATGTTTAGGTTAACTCAATTTAAATATATCTCAAGCAAATACCAAATCATGAACACAAGTAAATTAAACAAATCTATTCTCTTAATTAAAATATAATTTATTCAATAAAGTAATATAACCCACTAATTGATTTAAGAAACTGATTCAAAAAATTCTTTAATTTTTCCTATAGAGACAGAGCAGTGACCAACAAACTATAATGAAAAATTTGGCAATAGTTAAAACAAAAATCTGGCATCCAAAACATTTAACACCATTTAAAATAAAAGTTTATTATAAGTTTGCTCGACTTTCATGCCAAGTTTCATAAAAACAATTTTCAAAATCCACAGTTCGGCAATTGATTTAAATAATTACGTTCAATAAGTTTTGGATATTTTTTCCTTTTTTTATTTCAATGTCAAACCCAAAATGACGTTTAAAGAGCTCGAAAGCATAAATTGCATTAATTAAATAGGTGCAGTTTCTAAACTAATTGGTTAAATGAGAAGCGAGGTCGTATGTTTATCAACTGTTATACCTAAAATTACATAAATTACCGTGTAATGCTGTAAATAGCGCACGCATTGTCTTTACCTGCATCTTTGGCACGTTTTACTACGCCATCCAAATCTCTCTGAAATTTCTTATTCGTTAAGTTCGAACCGACATCCACCATTAAATATCTACCGTCACTTTCTAATTCTTTCAATAAACTTTCCGTTTCTTGCTGCTGTTGGACGGATTTTTTACCTCCCATTTCGTCAGTGAACATTCTCAAAGCAGTCTCTTCGCCTTGTTGTTTCATCTCTTCCTTGACTTTTAATAACGATAATGCCATTTCTTTAACTCGAAAAACAAAAAAAAAAAAGCTATAAAGAAACGTGTAACGAAAGGAACAATATTACAGCTTTTTTTAAACAATCGTCAAACATATATACACAAAAAAATTAAACATCTCAACGTAATTCCGCCTTCGACAAACTCGCCATAGACTTTCCTCAAACACGTGATCTATGACGTTTCGACATTTCTCGGCTCGTGCTTTCTACCGTTGCATCGATCGTGACGTAACTGGAGCAAAACTTTTGTGTCATTGCAACAAAAATAGAACGAGTAAAGAAAAATAATTATAAATTATTATTTTTCTTCTTACTCGTATTATTAGACTGTATTTATTATTCTAAAAGATTCGTGAAGCTATTGGTTAGAAGAGTCGTAAAATTTTATTAAAAATACTTTCGGGTTCGTAACAAAATTTTTATATTCTTAATTAGAGAATTACTTATATTAATATCAATATAACTGTTTAAAAGAACGTTTTTCTTTTATTTTTTTAATATATTTTATTAAAAAGAAATGATTAAAATATATATAGTTACGTCACGTTCGAGTACCTTCAATTTCATTCGTCATTCAACATTGCGCCGATTTAAAAATGGCGATGGAAGGTGCGAAAGACGCTCTCTTGACTTTGATGAAAAAGAAAGAAAGTATCGAGGAGGAAATTAATTCACTTTTTGCCGTTTTGAAATCCGTGAGTTTTTGAACGTATTTATAAAATTTCAACGCTGTTCGTAAAGCCCAAAGGATGATAATTGACATTTTTGATTCAGCAAAACATTGGAATGTCAGATCCAGTTGTTGATTCTGAGGGTTATCCGAGATCCGATATTGATGTTTATCTCGTCAGGCAGACAAGACAGAGAATTATATGTAAGCTAAGAAATAATATAAAGTTTTCTTTTTTGTTTTAAACTGTTTCTCGTGCATTATTGGTTCGTACAAACGGCCGTGCGATAGATTTTCTCAGACGATGCAAATGCCGTTCCCTTACGGTGCGACCTCTCTGTATCATAGCACAGCACGGCCCTGCATGTAAATAATTTAAAATAAAGGAACATCATCAATTACATTAACATCCAAAGAAAAGATTTCAATCAAATTAATAATTGGCTTTTTTATACAAATGTACAACGAATGAAATTCTGATTCATACAAGCAATAAAAATTTAAATTATAAAAAAAAGTATTTTGTTTCTGTTTAATTATTCAGGAATAATTCTGTTGTTAACTGTTTCGGTGAATAAAATATATGTTACTAAGAGTGTTTTTATGTTTTCGCAGAGGGGAGATAAAATTACAGAATGCCATTAGTGATCTCGTATAAATGGAATGTTTTCTTCCTATTAATAATTTTTATTTTAGGGTTTCTGAACATCTTTCTGGCTATTGTCAGTTCTCAAATTTCAAATATTCATCTATGTAAATGAAATTTGAGAACTCTCTGATATGAAAATATTCAAAGAAATTTGTTGTTTTTTGGTATTTCAAACTTTAATTTAAACACATGACCAAAAAATAAGCATAATCATTAATTTGGTCTATATCTTTAAGAAATAATGATCATAACGGTGTGAAACTTTACAAGCATAATGTTACTGCAGGGCAAAACGATTTAAAAAAAGCAAAAATTCAATCTAAAATGTGGCTCTTTTCTCCAGAGTGGCAGTTCTTGACCATTTTTGGCTTGCATATCCCTTGACGGTCCATTTTCCTAGGTTTTATTTTGCATATTTGTTAAATAGTGGCACCTTGGTCAATTACAGTGCTATGCAATTGCATGTGAAAAAGTTTTTTTTTTAAAATTGAAAAGTATTAGAGAAAGAACACAAAGTTAAATAAAAATATAATTATACACTCATTGCCATAAAAATTAACACACCAAGAAGGGATTGTCAGAAACAACCAAAATTGTACATGTTTGAGTGTAATGGTAATATAAGTAAGTGATTACAAAATGAAAGCAAAAGGATCATTTATTGCAGGAAAAACTACAATTGAAAGGAGGTTCTAATACCTGTTGAGCCATCTCTAGTATGAATACACACCATGATATGGACAGATATAAGGTCCTTTAGTTCAACCAAACTCCAAGGCTGTCCAACTTGGTGTCCCAGGTGATGCCAGATATGTTTGGTGACAAATCAGTAAACTGGGCAGATCATGGAAGTGTGGCAATGTGGTGGAGGCATTCCTGTGATGTGTGGTGAGCATTGTCCTGTTGGAAAATGGCTCTTGGGAGCACTGCCATGAGAAGTAACATATGTGACTACAGGGCTTCCATGGTCCTTTGGATGTAACTGGCTGCCATATGTGATGGCACTCCAGACCACACCAGCTATGGGGTGGTGTGTTTCTCCAAAGTGTAGACAGGATTCAGGCATTCACCATGGAGCCTCCAGACATGAACATGGCCATTGTCAGTGCCCAAACTGAAACTGGATTTGTTACTGTAGACAGTAACGAATCCAGTTTCAATTTATTGTGGTCCAATCCTGTGAGGAATAACACCATTCCAAACAGAGGTGGTGGTGGGTGGCTGTCACTGCACCATGATTCCAAATGTTCCTCATCAGATGCCTCAAAATGGTATGTACAGACACAGGCATCTGTAATGATGACACCACCTGTATCCGGATGTGGACAGTTATACAGTCGACTGTGTATACTTTTTGGAGGACCAGGCTGTCCTCTCAGCTAGTAGTCTGCCAAGGTCATCCTGAGCCTTGGTGCCGTGTGTGAAAAATCTCTCTTGTTCACTGGTCCCATCATCTCACAGTGTTGTCAGAGCAGTCTAGGTGGCAGGCTATTTGGTGAGATAACCATCTGGCTTCTCTCAACCCAATGATCCTTACCCTCTCAAACTTGGTTAGTTGTTCATATGATTTTCAATTGTAATGTAAAGGCAATCTCTAATGATACAGCATTCCTCTGCAACAGGTAAACTACAGACAGGATGCCTTTGCACACTTTTTTACAGGCCAACGGGGACATACTTTAATACCCTCTGTTGGCATTATGAAATGAACCATCATTCTATAACTAATCATTTCCATATCTATTTGAGGTTTGTATTGCTGCAAATCCTGGCATACAGATGACAACTCCTCCTTGGTGTGCTAATTTTTATGGCAATGAGAGTATTTTTATTTAAAACTAAGTGTTATGTCATGATGTCACCAAAAAGCCCCAATGCAAAATCCAAATATTCTTATAGTACATTCGCCATTAATTTTTTTCTGCCTACCCCTAATTGGGAATCACTGTCCTAGAGCATCACACACTTGTTCTATAAAATTAGGTCTATAAAATTTTATAGACCTATTTATTTTTTATAAAATTTTATAAAATCTTGTTTTTCATTTAGTGGATGTTAACGTGCTGATTGGCAACTAACAGGTCTAAAACACAAACATAGTGTGTACAGGTGAAACAGGTGAACAATAAAGATTGTTTTTTCTGAATAAGTTTCCTTAATTCGCAGAACCAGACACAAGTACAATAAGCCCTACTAATACGATATGTCCTAGACAGTATGAGTAGACATTTATATAATAAACTGTATAATAATGACACAAAGATGTATGATTAATTACTTCACATAGACAGTTTGTCATGAAGCTCTAAACAAAAGTACCAGACTGGTACTGGTGTGTGAAGAATATCTGGTAGGAGCTCTTTGAAGAGAGCTACCTACCAGACATTCTTCTGTTGCAAGTCAACATTAATACCAAATAGTGATTGTGTTAACATATGTAAGTCATATATATCAATTCCTAATTGACAATCAACATTTTTTTTTTTTGAAATCTGAACAAAAGTCTGGATATGATGCTCTGCAGCACATGAGTTCTGGATACATCCATTAGTGACTAGCTTGCTTTTGAACCTTCCAAACAATCTATCATGAAATTATCTATGTGGAATCTTTTTGGCATTATTACTGTCAATATTTATAAACTAAAACAGTAACAAACTGTCTTTAATGATTAAACTTCAACAGAAACAATACCATGCTATTTCTGTATTTATGAAGCATACATATTTTGCATAAAGTTGTGCTTTTTTAATGAAACATTTAATTACATCCTAGTTATTTTTATTGTCTGTTATACAAGTTTTCCAATTTTTTTTTCTATGATTGGATGATTATGCTTATTTTTTGGACATGAATGTAGTATGCCTATAGAAAATGTCTTTAAACTATGTCATGGAAAAACTAATTTTTAATTTTTTTTATTTAAAATTACATAAATAATCATATAGAAATCTCTGTACTCAATAGTTAGATTTTTTTGTGCTATAATGCTCTAAGACTTTAATTTTGTTTTATTTTTCTTTCTCTTATTTTTTTCTGACATTTAATTATTTTGTTAGAGATATGTTTCCTTTCATACAATTTTGTTCAAGAAAGGTATAACTGTTGAAAAAATTTTTTCTGTTAAATTTATACATAATATGTCATGCATCAAATTAAATCAAACTCTTAAACTAACATTAAATTTTCTAAAAATGAATCGTCATGATTTCAAGTTGATATAAAAATTAAATTATTATTATAAATTATTATGAAATTAAGCCTGTCTTATAAGGTAAAAAAATTTATATTTTGAAATAAGTTATTGTATAATAAATTGACAATAACTAAAGTAAACTGCATTTTTTTAGTTTATAAGTATTAATAATCACCTCTATTTGATCTATAAAATTCTTGATTCTTAAATGCACATGAATATGTATTTAGATGAGATTCAAAAATATTTTATCAGGAAATGTTTACAGCATAGTACATTCTATTTGTTAAAATATTTTGTTCTTTTTGTATGTAAAATTATAGTTACAATTTATTTGCAGAAAGTATAAAATTAATTACAGTCAACCCCCTATAACGCGGTAGATACATTCCACTTTATAAGAATTTCACGTTGTAGGAATCCTTCAATACATGAGCCAATCACAGCCCAGCATGTGTGCAGTTTATGGACTACGGCTGTTTGAAAGGTTTTCTTCCATAAAATTAATCAATTCTAGACTAATTTGACTCAACGTTTCCAAAAAACGTATAATTTTTCAGGAATAATCCATATAAACTATGCTATAAATAAATTGTAGGATTACTTACCGAGTGTGCACCGTTCGACGACACCATTGCTTAAGCTTGTTTTTGTCGCGGAGCAGTGCACCAAACGGCAGGCGCATTTTCTGATAAGTTATTTTTCTGAGAAAAATTCATTGAACTTTGGAGACATCATTAATAGAAATAATTTTTATGGCAGTTGAATAAGAAATGTATAAAATTACAGTACTGTATTAGACTTACAGTACCTAATTTATATACTATACAGACGATAGTAAACTCAACTTACCTGCTTAAACTGTCTGTAGCATATAAATAGTTCAGCTGCTCGTCCACTATTGGTCCAGATTCGACCAATCCTGTCACGACATGAGTCAGCGATGATGTTTTACCGCATTTTACGAGTCTTTTAGCGTCTTTATATGAATATGGTCGCAATTTTTTCGCCGCGATATACAAATCTGCATTATATGAACCCGCGTTATAGGAGAGAGTACTGTATTTAATAAAATAATACTTTATGCAAGGATATTTATCAGTATAGATATACTGATAAATTTTAGGTAAGTTTAAAAACTACAGGGGTAGCAGAGAAAAGAATATGATTTTTTAACTTGTAATGATTTTAATTAATCATATTTTGTATTAATAGTGTGACTGGAGGGTTGGCACCTCTTTGATGCCACGTCAGGATGACACCACTGTGTCCTGTTCAACACAGAAGCAATGCCGACTACAAAACCATTCACTATTATGGCTTCTGTATCTGTTCTAAAATTTTGCTGGTTTCTTCTGGTTCTCCTTTTGTATTTCTATATCTGGGGTCGAGGTTGAGTTGTCCATGTTCACCAGTTAATTCTTGAGTTGCTGAAATGACCGGATAAATGGGAACCAGTCAAACAGGACACAGTGGTATCATCCTGATGTGGCATTGAAGAGGTGCCGACTGTCCAGTCACAACAGTAATTGTAAATTTATCATTATCATGCTATTCATCCATCATTCAAAAACTAAACTATTTAATATATTTGTTTAATATCCATGTAATCTGCATTATCTATCTGATAATATAGGTTTACAAAATGATCATAAGGAAGTAATGAAACAAATAGAAGCAGGATTGTATTCTTTGCATGCTGAGCAGAAAGAATCAAATAGCAATTTATTACAGTCAACTCAATCACAAGACACTGAATCACTTTCACCTTTTGCCAAAGTCAACTGTGTTGATTTAAATTCTCCAGCAGATAATGCTGTAAGTGAAATTGATTTTAATTTCCATAGTTTTCTATTCTAATGAATTAAGTTCAAAATGAACAATATTATCTCTTATTTTATAACTAACTTCTAACTTACATTCTAGTATTTATTTTATGCTGTTATGATTAGATTAGATTTGTTTTTCAATCAAAATTTTTCATTCTCAATAACAAGAATAAAGAAAAATATTTAAGGTTCTATTAAATAAATACTGGTTTAAGTAATATTTTTTAAATTTAATATAATTAAATAAAAAAATACACCCAGTTATGAAGTAAAGAATTATTAATATAATTAAGTAAATAAATAGAATGAAAATTTTAGTATGTTAAATATATTAAAATTAACAGTTTAGTTAATTTTGCTCAACTGGCAAATTTCTTATCTTAAAATCCTTACTTTTTTAAAATTCTCATTAGTAAATAATAAATACAGTAAATACTAATTGTAGCTTAATAAATGTATTCTCTAATATTTAAGTTACCTTTTATCATTAATTCATGAAGTCTCCTAGTTTATTCAGAATATTATTTTTATATTTGATATTACTTTAAATTAATAATAATAGTTTCAAACCAGTTTGCTTTGCTTGTTGCCAACTGTCCAATGCAAAATGCTAACCTGTCTCAATACAGCAGTCAGATGTTCTAATTTTTTCTGTTGCTCACACCCACTTGAATTTTAAAATGCACTTTTCCATCCCCACATAAATTTAAAAAACAAAAAATCTTATCTTTTTAAAAAAATTTTAAAAATTTTTAAAGAGATAAGATCTCATTTTCTTTTGTATGTATTTTAGCCTAACTTTAGATCAACTTTAAGCAATTAAGAAAGAACTTCCCTTTAGTTAAAAAAAAAAAAAAAAAAAATCATATGTACATATTATATCACTAATAAATAAATATTGTAGACTGAAATGCACATATTTTATATAAAAGTTTTTAACACTGAAGATTTATTTATACTATGGATGGGCCAATTAGGGCTTTTTGGCCAAATACTGAATTTGGATTATTTGGATGCTACTGCCATTGAATACAGATTACTGTATATGCT